CCTTCTGCAACACCTGTGAGTAGGTCAGGCTGCGGGCACTCAGGTGCCCTGGAAGGATGGGGAGCCAGCCGGCTGGGAAGGAGCTGTCGGCTGCCATGCAGAGGGAGTTGTGGACCCCAGAACTCCGAGATGCTTCTCCAAGACAGCAGGGCCAGAATCAGTCCAGCTGGGCGATGCAAACCCACCTGCCCTCCACTTCCTTCTGCCACAAGTGCCTTGTCATTAGAGGGGTGGCTTCTGTCTGAGAGCCCTGGAGACCAGACAAAGAAGCAGGCTTCTGGCCGGGAGCCACACTGGGAGCCTCGGGCAGGTCACTCACCCTCTCTGGGCCCGGCTAACTCAGAGACCAGCGAGGGTGTGTGCGAGGGCTGCTGGAGGGGTGTGAGAAGATGGAGAGGACAGCGTTTGCTGGGTGAACGTGAGCCCTGACGGAGGATGATAATCCGGGGGCGGGGGGACGGCAGTGTGCGAGGTTCCTCGCTGAGCGCCCTGCACGATGCCCTCCTGACGGTCACGCCAGAGCAGGTGAAGACGCGGCTTGGATAACGCAAGCGCTTCCGCAGGACTTGCGTGAAAAAGAAACGCGCCACTAGAGGGCGGTGGAGGGACCCTGACGGGTGACGCGGGATAGCGGAGCGGGATGGGACAACTGGGCTGAAGGCCTCCAAGCTCCAAAGGCGCTGCCGGGGGCGGGGACCCCGGAGGTTGGGTAGCTCTGGTGCTGGATGCTCGGAATCCACGCAGGGGGTGTCAGGGGCTGGAATCATGGCAGGGAGCCGGCACCGAAGAAAGTGACCCCCACTGCCCCAACACACACGGTCACCCTCCGTCTCAGGGCAGCCGTCCCAAGAGACAAGCGAGATGGCCACGACTGTCACGTGCATTCGATGAGGGCGTCAGACTCAGTGGGAGGCCAACCCAGCACGGAGTTGCGGGAAACATTAGCCTGGTTGAGGGGGGAGGGGAGAACAGGTAGGAAGGGGGCCAAGGGGAGGAAAGAAGAGAGCCCAAAGAGCTCTCCAAGGTCTCTCCAAGGTCGTTGGGGCACGGAGCCCCCCGGTGAGGAGTCACTCAGCTGGACCTGGGCTGAACGCACTCCGTTGCCTCGTGTTCTGTGTTTCTGATGCTCTGGCACCAGGGGTCTTACTGGCTGCTCCCCTGAAGGGGCTGCCCTGCCAGGAAGAGCTGATTCCCGGAGATGGAAGAGGACTCAGCCATGAGCACAGCTTCCAAATACAAACCACCGTGCAGAGTCCTCACCTGAGCCCTCCTCTATGGGGCCCTCACGCTCAGGGCCCCTCACCCCTGTCCTAAGCACCCAGGGCAGGTCCCAGACAATAGGGCGGCCCCCGCGCCCCAGGGCCACTGAGCTCACTCAGCCTGCTTGCCATGCCTCACCTGTTCCCTCCCTCGAAAACCACAGTAACGGCTCTGCGCGCACGACCCCCCCTGCCTTCCCTGCGTGGCCGTGCGTAGTGGGCTCTGCCCCTCGTCTTGGGGTCAGTAACAAACCATTCTCGCTGGCAGGTATCTCCTGATGGGTTGGCCTCACCAGGCCTGAATAGTAGAAAAACCTACATTTAACAGAGGGGCTTAGGAGCAGATGCCTGGCATATGGAAATACAGGGTCCTTGAGGATTCTTCCAAAAGGTGCCGATAAAGCTCCCATCTGTGCCAGCGAAGGCCTGAGGTCTGTCCCATCATCTGGGACACCGTCCCCGTGCCGAGTATGGTCCAGGGCCCACCGCCCGGGGGACTCGGACACTGCCCCAGTGCCGTGACTGCTTGGGGCAAATGCTCTCCCTGCATCCCTCTCGAATCCCACACTTAAGGACGGTATACACTGAATTCACATTCTGGAGTTCAAAAAGAGAACCCTGCAAAAAACAAAATATGTCTAAAGGGTGGATAAATCTAGGGAAAAAAAGAACGTAGGCGTTTTCAGGTAGGATGGTTTGGTTCCCAGGCCATGTACACATTTGGCCCGTCACGTCCTGGGAGGGCTCAGGCGTTCAAGGAAGCCTGGAGTTAAACGTCTCTGTCCTGTGGACACTCCTTTCCCAATGATGGCGGGGGCGGGGTGGACTGCTCTCAGACACGTCACTAAACGGGACATCCGGCGTGGAGCCGACCTGGCCCAGCTCCTCCCTCAGACGGGCTAGGGGGATGGGCCCAGGGGACGCCCCGCTTGACCCTGTCTTGTTAGACTCACAGCTTGGCCTGGTGCCCTGGACGAGCAGCCCTTGTGCAGAGAGTCCGAGGGTCACGAGGAGGGCGCGGGGCTCCTGTCCTCAGGTGGCCGCCCCTCCTCCCAGTCTGTATCTCCTCCTTCCACACAGGTCCCCCGGGGGGGCTGAATGCCCCCCCAGGGCTGCTCACGCCCACAGAGCTAGGACCCCCGCTTGGGAGTCGCTGGCGGAGCCCGAAACTCTCCCCTTTCACACCCTCGGCGGGTCCACGTGTGACGATGGGCTTGGCCTTTTAAAGGTCACCACGGAGCTGACGGCCAAGTGCAGCTATGAGCGGAGACGAGCAGAGGGACAGAGCACTGCCCACACCCTGGGGACCCCCGTCCTGCCCCAGCCCGGTCACCGTGGGAACCATCTCGGGGGATGTGAAGCAGCCGGGCCTGCGCCACAAGTGGGACAGACGTGCGTGCGCGCGTGAGCACGTGTGGGTCTCTAACCTTGGTTCACATCCATTTGACTCGCTGTCCCCGCCCCCCGCCACAGGGACGTAAGACCCACAGGACTGGGTGTTTCTGTTCACCGCTGGGTTCAGTGTCCAGGACGCTGAGCGGGCCTGGCGGGTGACATGTGTGCCAGTGGGTGGGCGTGGGCCTGCCGTGTGGCTGCAACGCCCGGGGCTTTGGCTAAGTGGCTCATGGTGGCCGCCTGGCACCCGAACACCACGAAGCGTGAGCAGTTATGGGCCTAGGCCCCAGGCCCAGCGGGGTCTCCAGCACTCATTTGCTTTGCTGAGTTAAAGGAGGCAGATCCCTGGAGCACGGCCCACTCCTGGAGGGGAGCAGACGCCCCCCAATAGGCAAGGCCGCCAGTCGAGGTGGCCGGTGGTGGAGGCGTCCTGAGCCTCTGCCCCTGCCCTTCAGCTCTGCCCTCCGCCCCCAGCCTCTCAGGCCCTTGTGGCCTCGCTCCCCACATAACTGACCCTTCCATCCGCCGAGAGGCACGCGTGCCTCCTCTCAGGCGGAGCGGCATCCCCGCAGGGCCCACACCTCCCCTGGGAACGCGGTGGTTTCATAGGACGAATGTGAACCCAAACGAAGACAGCATCACAGAACTTGAGATCTGCCGAGCAGGAAACCTCGGGGACGCAGAGTCTTCACTCCACCCAGCCCTTCTGCTCTGTTTCCATGTCTCCGGAAGGATGCAAGCTGGTGCGACACTGAGACCCTCAGCGTGAGACTCACATCCCTACTCCTTTGCCTCTTGCAGGCCCAGGGGGCACCTTCAGTGCCCGGCTGTGTGAGGGCAGGCCCTCCCCATCTTTCCAGGCTGGCAGTGCCCACTGGGAGCTCCACTGCCGGGACCACGGCCTCCAGCCCGATGCTCGGATGCCAAGTGACAGCCCTGCTGGGGGAGGGGCAACTCCTCCCAGCACCTTCTCCAGTGAAGCCCTGGAGACCTGGAACCGGCCACTGGCGAGGTCCACGTTGGGCCCTCCATCCCCCGTGTCCCCTGAGCAGCTCACCTCCCACCCCCCGCACGGAAGAAGCCAACAGTACCGACGCCATCCACTGCCCAGCACCACTGTGGACGACAAACAGAGCAACGCGGGCTCTGGGGTTGTGCGCAGCCTTGGTGGGGGAGCTGGGGGCCCAGGATGTGACACTCCAGGCAGAAGCACCCGCTTCAGCCAAGAGGCCAAAGCAGGAAGGCTGGACTTATCTGGAAAACATCGGGTCTTGCTAACATTCCGTCCTCTCTATGGCCCGAAGGTGTGGGAGGCCCACACCTTTACAGATGAGCAAACAGAGGCCCAGCGGGCAGGCAGGCATCACTGCTCCTCCGAGGTCCCGCCCAGGGTGTGGGCTCTTCCTGGCAGCGGGAATGGCTTGTGCAAAGGGCCTGGGGTTGGGATGCACTTGGCAAATCAGAGGCCAACAGGGCTGCAGTTGAAGGAGCCAGAGAGAGTGGTCAGAGTGGAGGTGGGACCCACAGAATGGCAGGGCTTGGGGTTTGGGGGGGGGGGGGGGGGGGGGTCCTGTGAGCAGCCTCCAGAAGATCCCTCCTCCCCCAGCACAGCCCCGTCACACCACAGGAGGGAACTGGATGCTTCTCCAGGCCGCGGGGACGCTGATGAACTGACCATTAGAAAGGCCAGGCGGGGCTGGGGGTGGGCGCACCCGCTGCACCTCGGCAGCCGGGCCCTCTGACCACAGTGGGCGGGTGAGTGACCCTGCTCAGATGGGCAGGTGCGTAAGGTGACGGCGGTGGAGGGAAACAGGCGGCCTGAGAAGCACTGAAACTCACTGCAACGTAAAGGCCGAGCGAGAGAACGTCAGAGCCTCTTCCTTGACCTCCTGTGCGGATATTCCCCCTCTGCTTTCCCAAACCCACTGTCCTCCAGGCCTGCGCCACTAGGCTCCGTGACTGGCCTGCTCTGGCGGGGCTCAGCCAATGGGAGGGCGGGAGGATGGAGCAGCCGTGGCACTTCTTGCCCGCATCCCTCCGCGACACGGCTCCCGCTGGGTGCCCTCCTCCTCGGCCCCCTGTCCCCGCTTCCGGGGACACGGTCTCCTCTCCTGGCCCTCAGTCCACTAAAGACTTCATCGGAGCCACCAGGTGGATCTGTTTCTGCCACGACTACAGCCGACATTCCCCCAACTCCACTGCTGCAGGTGGGATCTGGGAAGTGCGCCCTGTGCTGGGTCACCTGCATGCTCTATCGGGGCGCCCACGGCTCCTACGGAGGGGACATTCACCCAGCACCCCAGCCCCGCCCGTCGGGAGAGCAGGTGAGGGGCGAGCCCCACGCACCTGGTGGATCTCGTGCCAGCCGTTCTCGTCCTTGCAGCTCACGGCCGCGTGCTCGTGCAGCAGCAGCTCGCAGCAGCAGGGGTCGCCCCCGACCACCGCAGTGTGATACAGCGGCGTGAGACCGTAGCTGTCCTTATAATCCGGGGATGCTCCAAGCTCCAACAGGGTCTGAAAACAACACCAACGTGCGATCACTGGTCTCACACCCCCCTTCACAGGAGTGAATCGATCAAGAAGGAGGAGCAAGGCCACGCTCCCCCAGGCCAGGGTTACGGAGCCCTCGGTTCCCGAGCTTTTCCTGGCCTCCCGGAATTAAGGAGGCCCCAATTTAGACGACGAAGTTTCTGGCCCTAAAGGAGCACTTGGTGCCAGGCACGCACACGTGCTTACACATCCGGGAGACGGGGAGGCTTTCTGCACACGTGGCCCTCTGCGCACTACCTGCTTGAGCCCGGCTGGTCCCTGTGGACCAGCGGACAGCAACGAGGGGAAGGTGACATTTGCAGGAAAAAGGTGTGAACCTAAAAGTCCAGTGTAAACCATCTCCGTGCACGTCCTGCAGCTGGCAAAACTAGCAAAGCATTGTCACAAACACTTGATTCCGAGGAAGCCAGCTGATGAGTGTGCAGCTGCTGTGCAGTTAAGAAGTCTGCTTTACAGAAAAGCGCCGTCTTGGGGGTCGTCACCCCACAGCAGCGGGTCCCCTCCCCTCCGCGCCAGGGCCCTGATAGAGCATGGGCTGGGGGCATGCCTGTGCCCGCAGGCACAGAGCCAGGGCCAGTAGAGCATGCTCGAAGAACAGTGCGGGGAGGAAGACGGGGGTGAGGTCCGCCCTCCCCGCTCCCTCGGCATCAGCTTCCAATGTCTGGGGCGGCTCTGGCAGCAGCGAGGCTGGCTCGGTGGCGGAGGGCTGGCTTTGCAGCCCCCTTCCGTGGAGGGAGGTGGGTTTGAGCTGAAAATACGAGCCCTTTGGCGGAGTCAGAAGGGGAAAGATAACTTCCCGTGAGCAGCAGATTCTATAATAAAAGCAACCACACCAAGGGCAGGGGGTCAGGAGGGCCAGACCACACTTCTGAGCTCTAGCCGGACACAATTTGGGGTCACCGCAGGTGGCTGTCGTGGGATTGGGAGTGGGGCAGGGCATACCCAGGGGACCAGAGGAGGGGGTGTCACCGTGTGAGACGGGCCCCGCCTGTACCTTCAGGGCCAGCAGGCTCCTGGCGCGGGCGGCTTTGTGCAGGGCCGTCATCCCGTCTTTGGCGCGGAAGTCCAGGTGGGCCCCGCCGTTTCGGAGAGCTTTGATCACCTCCACGGGGTCGTCCAGCTGCGCGGCTAAGGTCAGGGGAGTCTCTAGGGACCCAAACACATGCACGTCAGATCCGGCACCTGGGGTAACGCTGCCAAGTCACATGACCCCGTTAACCAAGTTCAAACGTCCCAAAGTGAGCTTGACAAACTGACCCGCCACGGCATCACGGCTCCCACCCACCTGCCGACCCCAAACGTCCGTGCACTTAGCATGGCTCTGGCAACCCTAGTGACGATGGCGGTGACTCTCGGGGTCACGGGCAAATCACAACGGGGGCAGAGGCAGGGGGTTCCACATCATCGCCCTGTGGGCTCTGAGTCTGAGAAGCTGTCCCGGCTGCCTCCGCCCTCGGTACACAGAATCCCGCAGCCCCAGCCGATGCTGCCCTGTAGGAGGAGGGGTCAGTCAGGGCTGCAGCTAAAGCCTGGAAAGGCAGATGCCCGCCTTTCTTCATTTCAACTTCACAGCATCTACGGGTATCTTGGTAGATGCCAGGGACTGAGCTGCAGGGAGACAAACATGAGTAAGACATAGGGTCGTGCCCTGCCGGGGTCTCCATCTGGGAGAGCAGAGAGACCCCAACAGTCATCATGATGGGACCGGACCAACGCAAGGAAGGACCAACATACGAAGTGGGGCAGAAGCCCAGGGGACCGAAGGCTGAAGCCCGCCTTTGCGGCGACGAGGGTCAGGAAGGGGCTCCCACACCCCGTGCAGGTGGCCATGTCAGTCTCTGTCATCAGACGTCTCTCCTCAGTGACCCTCACGTGCCCGCCATCGCCACCGCCAAGCAGAGTGCATGACTCTCATGTGGTTAATTTGAGAGGCTCTTACAAGGCTACAGAAAAGTGCAAAGAGTAACACGACAACATGCAGGTTCCCGTGGCCCAAAACGCTAGTAGTTAATAAGGAATCGTTCTGTCCTCAAGCACGTTTTGAGAGTAAAAGGACTGGGGCATCTTCCATGGGGTGGAATGCCCTTCTAACCGCCTGTCACTGACACATCATCACATCACCCTCCATCCCCAGGAAAGGCAACTTCATCACAAATCTAGACTGATGACTCCCATCTATTTTCAGTTACAACATTTATTTATCCATAAATGGGTATTGTTTGGAGGGCTCTTAAAATTCACCGTTGGAATCCCTCTGTACCTTGATTTTTTGTGGTGAGTCTCATGGGCTTATCCCGCTCCTTGAAATTCATCTGCAGCGGGTAGACACGCCCTAGAGCATGTGTAAAGTGCAACTTATGCATTCTCTCCCAAGGAAAGTGGTATGATGGTCACGAATGCATCCCTGCTGCGGACCTACGAGAGGCACCTTCTCACGTGGGGGTTTTTGAAAATTAGGAGTTTGGGGACTTCCCTGGTAGTCCAGTGGTTAAGACTCCGCACTCCCAATGCAGGGGGCCCGGATTCGACCCCTGGTCGGGAAACTAAGATCCCACATACCGCAACTAAGAGTTTGCACGCCGCAACTACTGAGCCCGCACGCTCTAGAACCCACGCGCCACAACTGGAGAAGCCCACGTGCTGCAACGAAGACCCGGCGCAGCCTAAATAATAAAATTAATTAATAAAAAATTTTTTAAAAAAGCGTTTTCTGGGACAGCTAGGGGACCCTGGTGACAGCGGGAACATGCCCTCACAGAAATCACCCGCAAGGCAAGGAGAGCGTGACATGGTGAGGGGTGTTTGGGAATCCAGACCATCTGGGAAACAGGGGTAGAGATGTGGAAACGGGGCAGACGTGCAGAGAGAAGCACACTCAGAGAGAGACAGCAGAATCCGAGGGTCTGGGTTCCTTGCAGGGAAAAGACATCACAGGAGGGCGGTGGGCGAGGGGTGATCTGGGAAGGGCGTAAAGGACGGGGCCGTCGGGAGCTGCCAGCAACTACCCTCCAAAGCCAAGTCTCTTAGAGCAGCTCCTCAAGTTTGAGGTCAGCGCATTCGGGATGATGGCACCTAGGGCAAGGTCAACCTTCCAAACGATTCGGGCTTTTCCTTCTTATTTGGCTGTCTGCACGTGGCCAGCGGAAAAGCTAGGTGGTCCAAAGGAGATTTTTTTTGTTGTTTATACGGCACTATTTTCATAGCTGACGGCGTCAAGTTCGTTTTACAATGAGAACACTGTCTCAGAGGGAGGCATTGGCAAATGGTAAAATTCCAAATCACAGACCCCTGTGGCCCGGCTGGGCAGACAGTGCTGGGCACGTAAGCAGGTGGAGAGAACTAGACATCCGTCGGTGGCTGTGCGTCTCCTGTACGAGCTGGGACCTCCAGCCCGTGGATGCCATCCAGGCACATCGAGTGGCACGTGGCAGCATCTCGAGGGTTCCAGAGACCCTCCTTGAATGACACTGCAGACCTGCCACGTTCACACCCGCCACGTTCACACCCGGCCAGGACCCACGCTGGCGAGGTCAGGGGGGCCCCCAGCTTAGACCTCACGTTCAGGAAGGTTCAGGAAGGGGGCATCCATTGAGACCCCACATGGGTGGATGGGACCACCAGGAAGATGCTCGTCAATCAGCTGCTGCACTGTCTGTATAACCGGGTCACATGGGATCCCTCCTCCAATGCACTTGGGAACGGCAGTTCCCTGGCATCATAGTGCTTTGAAAATTTTTCTGATTTTGCATTTCGAAATTTTCTAAGTTTAAAAAAAATTACACAGGAACCTCCGCAAATATAACCTCATCAGGGGACCGAGGTCTCTCATCTTTGGAGGTGACTCTGAAGACAGAACTCGCTCCAACCTAGAAACTGCCTGCTGGCATTTTGGCGCCGGGAATGACCAGGTCGTGCTTCGAAGGGAAGGTTTTCAGGTGGGCACGAGGAGGGAGGCGCCTACAAGCACAGCAACAGGGCGCCAGCTCCATGGCTTGCGGTCTGTCTGGGTGTGGGGGGAGACCCGGGCAGGAGACTGTGCAGGCACAGGACAGCCACCGACCCCTGCAGCTGGGAGTGTGCACCAGCCTGGGTGCAGGGGCACATCCGGGGACCTCAGAAGGACCCGGGGACCAGAGCCCGGTAAGAACCTCCCGCAGAGCCAGCACAGACCAGCTCTGCTCCCGAAAGGCTGGGTGGCCTCCAGCAGGTGTCCCAAACTCTCTGGGCCTCAGTTTCCACACCTATATGGTCAGGGTAAAAGCAGGACCTGCACTCCGTGGGGCTCTGTGAGGATCAAATGTCACGTCTGATGCTGGAACAGTGCCCAGCCCACAGTCAGAGTCTGTCCAGGGGATTCAGCTAGAGATGGGCTTTATTTTCTTCATTACAGTTTTTTTCCTGTATTTTTAAAAGCCTGTGCAATGCCTTTATTATGTTATAATCATAAAAGTGATTCTAAAATAAACTGTGAAGCCAATGCTTATTCTCCCCCTCCCCCTCCCCGTGGACAGGCACAACCCCTCGTGACTGTCTTTCTTTTCTCAGCAAGAAATGGTCTTGGTGCCCCCAGGATGCAGACCAAGTGAAATATGCATTCACAGGCCTGCTAAGTGCTCTGCCCTGTGCTGGGGATGGTGGCTGTCCCAGGGCAGGGGGAACCAGGCATATCTCCTCGAGCTATTATAAGACAGATGGATACACAGACAGGTAGATAGATAGGTGGATGGGTGGGTGAGTAGATGTGAGGGAGGGAGGGAGGGAGGGTTGGGTAAAGGAAGGGCAGATAGATGGATACACAGACAGAGATGCATACATGCACACAGACGGATAAAAATGAGTTGAACAAAGCAACACAAGATTAATATTTGATCTCAAGGTTGTCCGAGGGAGCACAAACAGTGCACTCAATTTATCTTTGTAAAAAATTAAGCCATTACTGAATATAAGACCCATTACTGAATTATTCCTAATGGAGAGATTTCACCCACCCCATTCCCTGTACCCATTTGCCTCATGCAAAATGACACAGGTGGGAAAAGCCTGGCCTTGGGGCCGGAAACTTCAAGTTCGAGTCTGGGCTCAGCCGGTGACATTGACAGAAGCTTTGAACCCCACAGGGACCTCAGCCACACCTCAAAATTCCCAAGGACCTGCGAGAGGAAAGGTGGGATGCGGGGATTCCTTCCTCATTACCTAGAACAGCAGTTCTCAGACTTTGGCATGTGTGGGAATCACCCAAAGAGCTGGTTAATGCAAAGCACACTGGCTCCATTCCCAGAATCGCCTCCACAGGACTGGAGGGCTGAGAACCTGCAACTCTGAGAGTGACCCTGGAGGTCCAAGGGGTGCACTTTGCTAGAGGACGGCTTCTCATACTTGACTGCACGGTGACATCACGTGCTCCCAACCCCCAGACACTAGTTGAATCGGTGTGGTGCGTGACCCAAGTATTAGGATGCGTACAACATCCCAAAGTGGTTTTTAACGTGCAGCTGAGTTTGAGACCCTCTGCTCTAAACACCTGCTAATTCAAATGTGCTCCATGTGTAGCAGCACGTGGGCATGACCAGGAACTGATTAGAAACACAAAATCTCTGGTCCCACTCCAGGTCTACACAATCAGAACGGACTTTTAACAAGATTGCCAGGTAACTCATAGACATCAAGTCTGAGATACATGGACCTAGGGCACAGCTCTCCCACTTTATCACGTATGTGATCCATAAACAAGCAAACCAAGGAAAATGGTGCTATGTCCTCCATACGGATTTATCCCTTTATTTATAAGTCACATACGACCATGGGAAAAAGAACAGCCTTTTAAACAAGTGGTGCTGGGTCCACTGGATTTCCACATGCAAAGGAATGAAGTCAGAGCTCTACCTCACACCATATACAAAACTTATCAAAATGAATCACAGACCTAAACGTAAAAGCTAAAACTATAAAACTCATAGACGAGAACTCAGGATTATTAAATCCTTGTGACCTTGGGTTAGGCAATTTTTTTAGATATGACACCCAAAGCACAAGCAACAAAAGAAAAAATAGATCCATTAGACGTTACCAAAATTAAAAACTTTTCTGCATCAAAGTACACTATCAAGAAAGTGGAAAGACAACCCACAGACTGGGAGACAATATGT